CATTATCTGTAAATTTTTGTTCTGGAAGTGAACTACTACTTTAATAAAGACTTATTTTTGTACGGTTCCTTGCTCAAGACTAAGGGCCAGTTTTACTAAACGGGGCAAATTAGTGCAAGAGTGCAATTCCAAAACAGAGCCAATGAGCGTGGAAATTTCTGCGGGTTATTTACTGACAATGTGCAAATTAAAGAACACAGACGCAACATCTCATTTCCATAATGACCAATGCAATCTACCAAGCACAGCGCAAATTAGCATAAGGATATTTTCGGATTCGGATATTGTGTTCTTCTGGCATTCAAAATAAATTAATGCGTATGGAAAAAAATCCTCTCCCTTCTACCACATGCTTTCTGTTCTCTGCGGTGCCTCCTCCTAGCAAAAACAAATGCAGCCATTTCAAGTGCAAAATAGTTTAATAGTTGCTTTTTTTGGGGCGTTAAATAATGGCGCAAATGCACAAACGTTAGTAAATTGCGTTGCAAGATTAATTTTAATACTCTCCTCTCATAAATTTTGCGTTTGAAAGGGAAACTCCTAGAAATGCATATTCAATAAGGTCAGGTGCAAACATAACTGTGTCCACGCCTTTTCAGCTCTAATTCTTCACTGTGCATCTTTAGTAAATCCCGATAGTACTATTTTAATGCCAAAAGATGGGTTGTGCTGGCACAAGCTGCTAGTAATTCTGGCCCTAAGTTATGACTTCAAAACATGTTTACCATAGTGCAAGATTGATAATCCAATGCATTTTGACATTTGCATCACATAATCAGCTTTACTTGTATGGCTTTTCTCAGATGATAAACTTGCTTGGTAGCACACCTGGTACAGCATTGAACTTACGATGCAGAGCGCTCAAATATGACTCCTAAAAATGTGGCACAACATGCAAGAATCATATTGCATGCAAGAAAAATATTATATTTGTATATTAAATATATTTATATACAATATAAGTTATAGAAATATATACATGTAAATACATGTAAATATTTTCAAAATATATACTGTATGTATGTATGTGTATTTATATATACATAATAAATATACACAGTACACACACATATGTGACCCTGGACCACAAAACCAGTCATAAGGGTCAATTTCTCGAAATTGAGATTTATACATCATCTGAAAGCTGAATAAATAAGCTTTCCATTGATGTATGGTTTGTTAGGATAGGACAATATTTGGCCGAGATACAACTATTTGAAAATCTGGAATCTGAGGGTGCAAAAAAATCGAAATATTGAGAAAATCGCCTTTAAAGTTGTCCAAATGAAGTTATTAGCAATGCATATTACAAATCAAAAATTAAGTTTTGATATATTTACAGTAGGAAATTTACAAAAAATCTTCATGGAACATGATCTTTACTTAATATCCTAATGATTTTTGCCATAAAAGAAAAATCGATAATTTTGACCCATACAATGTATTTTTGGCTATTGCTACAGATATACCCGTACTACTTATGACTGGTTTTGTGCTCTGGGGTCACATATATTACATAAACAAAAACTTGTATTTTGGATGCGATTAATCATTTTGACAGCACTAATATATGTATGTATATATGCTTTAAGACGGCACAGGAAGCATCCATATATATTTAATATGGATATATACATATATATATATATATATATATATGGATGCTTCCTGTGCCGTCTTAAAGCAATTGCCTCAGGCTCTCTTTCTATACGATGCTTTCAGTCCCACCAAACTAGAATTCTTTTGTAGTGTATATCCTTTCATTTACATTAGTTTGTGCACCACAAAGGCTTTGGTGACCTCCTTTTCAGCAGTAATACGCAGCTCTCAGAGAGAGTGTTTGAATGTTTTTGTAAGCGCACAGGTTGGTGAAGTGGATGCTGTCATTTGCCACAATGGCAGCGCTTTTACAAGCTGTCCTCTGCCCGCCCTTCCCTTTTCAACCTCGCTCTGGCTAGCGGCCCACTCGGCTACTTAGTCCAATCACGCCACCTCTTTTATCCAGCCCTTCTTCCTGTAAAAGCATTAGCATAATGCAGGAATCCTGCAGAAATCATAAATAATAGGGTGCCTGTCTTATAAAACCCACTCCGCTCGATTTATTGTCAGCCGTGTCAAGGTATCGTGTACCTCCTCGATGCCCCATGCTTTTAGCTCTAATGAGAATGCTGCTCCCGGGTGTGTGCATGAGTGATTTAAACTGGGATGGGACAGACTGATTGGACAAGTCCTCTCTAAACTAAATCATATGCCAGGAAGATGTCTGGATCGTCTTTTCTGTCTAATTGGACCGTGGGCTCTTTGTCCTGGGACCGTGGTGGCTTGCTGAAGCACTGCTGCACCTTGTTCTTATCCTCTACTCAGCGCTCTAACCAACGCACTTGCATCCCATTCAAAACACTCCACAGCTGTAAACTAAAAGAGGACAAGAAGCAAGGGAAACGAAACAAAAGCAAACAAACGCCAGTTGAAGTTCAGTTGCTCAGTTGGTCCCATTCATGCATTCTTAAATTAAGGAATGCACTGGATATATTGAAGTGTCATTTTTGGCACCAAACATAATAAAAAAATTAGTTTTTCTAAACTGGTTTCCCAAACAGTCATATTGTCTTCCATTGTTAGGACAAACAGGTAATCGCTCATTAATTAATTTCGCAATGGTGGGTCAGTTAAGAAAATTTACCAGCCATAAATTCTTCTTAGCAAGAAACTGTGTAATGCATTATTTATATTAAAATTTATATTTTTGTCCCTGTGCATATTTTTCTAGCATATTAGTGACAAATAGTGCAGGTCGTGTGTCACTCACAGATGAGACAGTCTCCATTTCTCCATAAAACGCCACCTGTTACAAAATATGAAGGCACATAGTGATTTTGACCACTTATTTGTGAAATATTGAAAAATATTTTCATTTTTGGTAGCTTAACGTGAGGAATATTTCACATATGTTACCACACTTACCACTGAAGTAAAAAATAGAACATTTAGACATTAGTTCCCGTCAGTAGACAATATTTGATTTAAATATCTCACATTGCTCACTCTATTTCAAGGGTAAGTGATGTAAACCATGTGTTATGTTGCAGATCTTAATAAAGTTGCTGACCAGCTGATAATAATGTGAGTTTTTACATGCTCAATGATGCCAACAAACAAATGACTTCCTGTGTACTGGGATAGGAGTAACTGTGATGGGACAGCGTTTGAACACTGAAAAAAATAAATAAACCACACTGCGTTATTGCATGGTTTTTATGATGTTTATGGTTGTTTTTACAGAAGCTAAAGCCCACAGCAGTTTCTATGTGTTCTGTAAGACGGTCTGCAAGGCCATTCAGCCTGGAAAACTACGTGTTCACTGCAGAGACTGCAAACAAGGCACTCTTACTCTCAGCAGGGTACGTATATGTGCACACAGTATATGCTTCTGTGATATCTCTTAACACCTAGTCTTAACTATCCACTTTGCATAGAAACTTACTACTTAATTCAAAGATGCCAATTTACTAGTGTCTTTTTTGTTTGGCATACAGAACCCATTTAGATACAATTAATACACAGAAGTTGATGTCACTTTTATTCTCACCTTTATTTAAACTCTTAAAAATAGTTTATTTTTTGGCTTATGTGGTTCCATGAAGAACCTTTGACACCCATTGAACCTTTTTTTACTACACAAAAAAGTTATTTAGAGCAAAATGGTTCTTTAGATAATTAAAACGATCCTTAAAGTGGGAAATCCTTTAAATCCATAAATACAATTGGCCTTAAAGGGATAGTTCACCCCAAAAAATTACCCAATGATTTACTCACCCTCAAGCCATCCTAGGAGCCCTGCTGTCTTGTGAACACGTGTACGACAGTTAGTGGAAGCTAGAGATTACGGTTTATAAAGTTTTAAATATTCACTTCACTTCACTTCAAAAGGCCTTTATGAACCCCCAAAACCATATGGAGTATTTTTTATGATGGATGGATGCACTTTTTTGGGTCTCAAAATCTCCATCCCCATTCACTGCCATTGTAAAGCTTGGAAGAGTCAGGACATTTTTTTAATATAACTCTGATTGTATTCGTCTGAAAGAAGAAAGTCATGTACACCTAGGATGGCTTGAGGGTAAAGGTGTAAATCATGGGGTCATTTTTGTTTTTGGGTGAACTATCCCTTGAAGGTAATCAACAGTAAAGTATTTTCATATTGAAGAATTGTGATTTTTAGTTTTTTTATTTAGGGTCATTGATGTGACACTCAATTCTAACTATTAATTTATTAAAATTAAATTAAACATGAATTTCATACATACAACCATTTGAATGCACCTTTTGCATGATAAGCATGTTTTTTATTTCTGAATTAATATTCATAAATGGGGAATAAAGTAAAATTGTTATACATATGTCTTAATTTTTTTAATTATTATTATTATATTTGTAGAAAATATTATTTTATTTTATATTACTATGTTTGAAAAAATATATATTATATATATATTATTATATATTATTTCTTTATTATGGATAATTGTACCATAATAGTTAGATCCTTGCAACTCTGGTTAAATCACTCGTTTTAAACAAGCTGTGGTGGGTTATTCTAATGCATCCTCATGCTCCAGCCACAGAAACTGCATCAATGAATGATGACTGTAGGGGAAAAGCCTGCTTATTATGCTTATTGCTGTTCTTTAGTCCACATTCATAAGCGCTTTGAGACAAAAAAAAATAAAAATACCCAGAAACATTTGCTCGGTTGCCCCAAGTCTCATAACTAACTAACAGTGACACTTCTTAGCCTAAAGTATGAATACAGAACAGCACAAACCCACGTCTCGCTGCCCCCACACGGCTGTCATAAGCCCCATCCCTCCGTAGTTCCGCCCGTGGCCTGTTTTATCTTTCGGTCCGTATGGACTTTCTGTCCCAATGCGTGGGCAGCATTCCCACCTCTCCGCATTCTGTCGCTGTTTGGGAAGGCTGACTGACACGTCGCTAAGCTGCACCTGCCTTTTCTTTCCGCTCGCGGTGGTCTTCGGCGCTGAGAATCTGTTTGTCCACTGTCTCGGTGCCAGTGCTGCCCCATTCCTTTGCCAATCTTGTGATGCGTCTGGCTCTTAACATCCTCGGGCCTGTAACAGGTTCCAGCTCTTCTCATCTAACTCTCTCCAGATAACTTTCTCCAAATATGCTGAGGAGAAGAAGACGGCAAAGTTTACGCACTCGCTGTCAGAACACTTCATTCGAACCTTTGGAGATGTTGGACTTAGCAGCACTTTCAATCAAATACATTCATCTCCATCAGCAACTCCTAGCTTAAACATCCAGCTTGGGCTTTTAACAGATTTGTGTGCATGATGTAGACACTTTTACACCAGGATCTTCAAAACCTACATCGCTGAATTAGGCCTTTAGGGGGAAAACCTGCTTGTTATTGCTGTTACGAGTTTCTTTGCGCTTTGAATATTAATAGAAAATAACCTTGGCTTACATCTCTCCAGAACACAATTATGAGAAATACAGTTTTGACTACATTGCTGGCATTATAAATATCTCAATGTGCCCTAAGGCCTTAAGTAGAAGTTTTAATTATTATGTTCGGGTTGTTCCCATAGTAATGAAACCCCCAGCCCCATAGATATTACATTACAGGCTTAGCATTTCAGATTTAATATTTGTCGTACATTGTGTATCAAGTTGAGCTATTTGGTTGTTTTTTTCCATAAAGTTTGCCTAAAAATGGAAATTATGTAACCATTTACTCACCTCATATTGTAATACATTATTATGTTGTATTTTGTCTGTGCACATAAAAGAGGACTTTTTGAAGAAAGTGCACTGTCCTTATTTTAAATTACATCAGTTGCTTGTCAAGCTCCAAAAAGGACTATCAACACCAGAAAGGTTGTAAAAATAGTACATATGACTAGTGACACAAGTGTGATGAGTAGGCTGAAATATAAAAATGTATTCTGTGTATGCAAAAATGTATTCAAAACAATTATAGGAAAAGGTATGTTATTCAAAGTCAAAAGCAATAGTGAAGTCAAAAGAATATATGGAGCCAATGGTGGACAGTAATGAAGTATTTTTACTCCATTAACTGTACTTAAGTACTATTTTCAAGTATCTGTACTTTATCAGAGTATATATAGTTCAGTTATGACAATCTAAATGGCACAGGCTGACGGGTTGTTAACGTAACTGATGATATTCAGAGAGTTAAATGACTTGGCACAAGCTGATTGGTTCATGCTGCATATGCACCCATTGAGCTTACTGCCTTGCATTTATATGGCTGGCTAGCATTCACTTGAGATTCCTGCAGCGCGCTTTCAAAGTTTCTCTGAAACCCTCCACCTTCCCAAGCTCCACCTGTATAGATCTGCTACGGGGTTATTTTATATGCTATTTGTGCAGCAGCAGTATGTCTTAAATAGTCATGGCATCATATCACCATATGCATTGGCAGTAACAAGTTCCTGTACTTGCTTGCAGCAGCAATAATCTACAACTACAGCAATAACCAACAGCAGCAGCTTAGCAGATCTGTTCCGCAAAGACCAAATACATTAACATTGTCATGTATATTACCATGCTAAAATCTTCCAAGAGTTCTCATGATTGAAATATTTTTTAATTTTAGAAGCTTTTACTTTTGCTTCACTACATTTGAAAGCATAATATATACTCTTTACTAAACCTCATTTCTTAAAAACGTGTCATTTCTCATTATTTTGAACTAGAGAAATCGAGTTCATCCTCTTTAAATCAGGTCACGACTCAAGTTGTCCATTAACTAAATCTGTTGTAAAAAGGACGAGCTGTTAAAACCCGGTGTTAGAAAAGCTTGAATGCAAACATGTCCATGTGTGTATCAACGGGGTATGCTTTATGTAAAAGCAAGACAAAACTTTAAAATAATGCAAATTAATGCCCATGCATCTTCCCAGCTGCCGAAGCAGTTTCAAATGATTTTCAAACTAGTATATTTGCATAGCGTTCTTCTTAAAGTTGTATACATTTTGCCCTATGTGACATCTGTTTTTACAGTATATTGTTTGTCAACACACATATTTAGGTTTTCCTAATACTTTTTTTTTTATTGCTTGATGTATTGTAACCTGAATTGATATTTTAATATATTTATTGTTTTGATAGTGTATGAAAACTCGCTAATCGCTAACCCGACGTCCCGGGGCTATTGTGTTTTCCAGTCGGGCTACCAAAATGTTTCACCACCCTGCCCGACGAGCTATCTTGAACGGTGATATAAAATTCCTTCCTTGATTTGCATTGTTCACTAGCTTGTAGGGGTAAAACGGATCGTAGTTGATCGTTTGCACGAGTTTCTAATTCTTTAAACCATTCACGCGAATTCGGAGCTGCGCGCACTCATTCAAAGCGCGCACAGAGAGCCGCGTTTCAGGCAATGCACGTAGACAGAATTGATTCCTCTTTCGCGTATCCTTGCATCTGAATGAACACATGTACACAAAATTATCTCAAAATAACTGTCTCGGCAAGTATTCTCGTAAACAAAGTCGGTTGTGTCTTAAGTGAACGTAAACGGTGGAGAAAGAAATCTCAAGTGCATCATTATATTGGGTCCATGCATTCGGTCTTAAAGGGGTAGCAGCCTATAAATACCGGCTGTTCCATTAGTGCCACCTGCTGTCAGAGTGACATTTGCGTCTTATTCACAAAGCTATAATCAAACCGTTCTGTTTTTGCTTCAAATTTCGAAATTATACAATCTAATTGCAATCTAAATAATGTATAATGTATTTAGCATCTTTGTTTGGATCGTGATTAAAATGCAGTGGTTGCCTCTGATTTTAAATGGAAAGAGCACAGCCAAAGCATTAGTTTGTTTATATGAAGAGATTTATTTTATTTGTATTTAATTATTTAATTTGGGATTTGTTTTAAAATTTCAGGTTAGTTTTATTATTTGACATATTTCAATTTCACGAATAAATGTGCAGCATTTTGTTGGAGAAATAATAAAAGGACACCTTTTCATTTATAATTTGTCTAAAATCTAATTTTGTTAAAAATAAAAGTTGTGAGAAATTGTATTGTGAAATCTGTATCGAGAATCACATCGCATCGTGAGTTGAGTGAATCATTACATCCCTATATGCTACTAGTTTTTGCTGCGGTATCAAAAAAGTATTCTGTTATTTAAATAATAATGAAGCATATTTATTTTTTGCTCATCTGCAAAATGACCCGATCTGTTACTCAAAATCTGTTATGATAATGCAATATGATCCGAGCCGTGGGTTTTGTGATCCATTGCACCTCTACTCTCTTGACTTGTTATTTGAAGAAAAAAAGCGATCACTGAAGTTTTCAATCATGCTGATTTGGCCGCAGTGAAGTTCAGCCGATGTCTTTC